ACGAGTCAGTTTGGTAAAATCGGACCGAACCAGTGTCTAAAAAACCGATCAGTTTGATTCTTGGCTGGTTCGGTCCCTTATGGTTTGGTTTTCAGCTTTAAACCCACTGAATACTGTCAATTGCTAGAAGCCTTTAATATATCAAATCAAACGAAAGATTTAAACATAAGAATAAATAAAATTAACGAACATAAAGTGAGAAAATTCGAATACATCCGAGTACTTGGAGAATTGGCTATGAAAGGAAGTTCTTACCCGGGGGAAAAATTAGTGCAGTTGAGAGCAAAAAATTAAGTGGTAATTAGCCTACGTATATACAAAGTTAAACCCATCTCAAGTTATTCTTGTTAAAGAATTTCAATCTGAGAAAAATAAATGAGAGGTGATGAGTGACTAACCCCAATGGTTTGCAGAAATCAAGTGTCGCCAACAGCACAAGGAAGACAGGGAGGATCTTCAGCTTGGTTTTGAGGAGTGACGCGTTCCAAACAGAGGCCATGAAACACGTGGCTACATGGCAGTATTGCCACAGTTGGTGGAATTTTTGGAAGGACAAGTGAGCCTTCTGGTTTGAATGAAAGATCCCTCTTACATATGAAGCATCTCTCGCCACTTAATTTGGGAGTTTGATCCAAATCTGCAAACGAAATTGAGTATCACCACTTGATAATATATGTGTATAGATCTCCATACTTACCCAGTAAAGGTTCATATAAGCCTTTTGCTTCTGTCAAAAGTATTCCTATACATGCTACAAAGATCATAATAATAATAATATATTTTTTTTGAAAGTATTTTCGTGGTTGGTTTGAGCATTTTTATACTTCAATTTTGTATCATATTGGTTGAAATTTGTGTAATTCACTGGTAAAGTTAAGAATTAAACTCACAAAGCTAAATAGAAGAATAAAAAAGAAAAATACGATGCATCCTGGCTGCACCCATTTTTTCAGCCCAGATCAGTGGTCCAACTATAATTTGCCTTCATTGATTCTGTGGGTTCTCTTTAAGAAACCCAATTGTTCATGGTTTCTTAGTTTTGTTTCATATGTCCTTTCTTAATTTGATATTGATTTGCCTTTGTTGTTTAATTGTGCATCTCTCAGTTCTGATTAGTTTCTAATGCGCTAGTAGAATGGTTCAGTGTGGCTTTTCTACTATTTTGTCGGTTGTTTTCTAATACATGTCCGGGTGTGTCTGAACGAAGCCATGCAAGTGTTCAAAACTTAAAAATGACAACTATATGAAACGATAAGACCCACTAAATTATTTGTTCAACGTGTATTTGATTTCATGTCTGTATGTGACACCTATGCAGATACTCTATTGAAATTACAGCTTCTATTCTGCTAATTTGTAGTCTTTCTGCCCAAAACGACAAATTTAGTACTCATACCGCCAACATAAATAAATTTTTTTGAATAAAATAAAATAAACTACAGCCAGATAGTATTAAATCACCAATAAATTCATAAATCACCAAGCAGACCAAAATCTTAAGACTTTCGACTTTTTAATTTCAAGTGCTTGTTCTTAAGCTACCGCACGTAAGTATGAAAAAATAACATCTATAATATTTTCAAGCAAATGAACAAATATGAGAAACAATAATACGTTTAAATATATAATACGGAAGTACCTCGGCATTTTATGTAACAACGTGAGGTCCTTGAGCGTCGGAAAGAACGATCTCGTAGATCTTCAAACTTGGAAGAAACAAGTGGAACGCTCTCACTAATGATTGGTTGGTAAACCTGATTTGGGTCAATTTCGGTTTTCTGAGGTTGAATTACAACATGTGAAGTTATATCAGGTGAGACAGAGACAGATAGAACCTGCGCAAGATGGGCTTGAAATGATATGTCAGTATTTGCCGAGACAGGGGAAGAAGTGAACACTGGTGGATGAGGATTTGATTTAGCAATACCAGAATCTTCAACTGTCCCAAATTCTCTTGCATCTTGATTTCCTGAAACATATCGAGCTTAAAGTTATTCCTCCTTCCATATAATTACTTAATGAAACTGTTAATTGAAGACGAGATCATAATAAAGACAATAAAAGTGGTACCAGAAGCGAGAGCATTGCCAACGTTTTGGGGAGGTTGAGACGGGCCAGCAGATTGAACAAGCTCAACTGCAAGCAATAAAAAAACATGTTCGACGTCAAAATTGATTATCATTTATGCTAAAATTGTTCAAGAACGATCTTAAATAGCATTCAATGTTAAACAAAATGAAACTACCACTGAAGTATCTATCTCTCTTACCTGACTGATCTGGAACAGAGATGGTTGCAGAGATCCCAAGGGAAGGAGCAAATGTTGGAAATTCAGATGTGAAGTTCCTAACATCAGGATGAGATTTCTGTTCAGACGGCCGCTGACTTTGATCCCTTCTAAGCAAACAAGATTCTAAGTCAGTAAACCAGCATTGTGAGGATAGCTCAATTTTGCTGTTAACAGATTCTGTCGTAAGTGGAGGAGCATTTTTAAGTGAGTTGAGGATATCCTCATCGCCCTGTACTACTGCAGGAGTAAGACCCGAATCATCTGTAAAGCTTGGCGTGGGAAAAGGGTTATCCCCACCAACTATAATAGATGGTTGGAAGACAGATGATTGGTGCAAACTAAAATTAATAAAATTACTACATCTTAATCCTACAGAGTTCTGAGGAAAGGTTGTAAGGTTAGGAATATCCCCTGAATTGTCTTTAAAGCCTGAGATCTTATCTGCCTTGTTAAGAGCCGTAGTGGCTTTTGTCTGACATCCGACATCTAAAGCCTCAGCATCTAGTTCTTCTAAACCATGAGGTTGGAGTGCACTGCAAATTGCAGTAATGTTAAGATCGATTTGGTCCTCACATTCCGCGGAGTGAAAATTATGATTGTTTGTTACTCTATGTATGCCTTCAGCTTCGTGACTTCTTGCTGGGACTCTACAAATACTGGCAAGTTCTGGACTTCTGATACGGAAAGAAGCATTTGTCTTATTTTTGGGATTCGCATAAATGCTGTTAGACCACTTTTGAGAGCTTAATCCCAACCGGGAGCCATCAAATGACCAATCAATATCAGTGTATGAAATTGAATCAGAGAAGGATCCAGCAAGGTTTGGATGAGAGGAGACAGATGGATCTGGAAATTGGGAATGATGGAGTCCAGAAGCTGCACTGTATTCTTCATGGAGCCCATTGAAGTTAGCATCACTTCTGATTGTACCAAGGCATCTCGATTCTTCATTTTCATCGTCAGAAATAAAACCAGACAGCTTATTTCGTAGGTTCAGATTATCCTTTTCCATCGAGTCCATCCTGAACAACAGGAATTAGAAAGACAGTCTCCGGACGAATAATCAAGAAAACAACCGATCATTGGATTATAAAATATGAAGAGAAACTGCGTAAAAACTGAATTCGGTAATGCAATCATAAGTTTGATAATAAACAGAATTGATTGCGTGAGGAATCAACGTGCAGTTATAATAATTAAGCAGTATATGCATTAATGGTCGTTGTCTTTTAAGCCGCTTTAAATATCTCCATGAACAAAGCACATTACACAAAAGGAAAAGGAAAAGAAGCTTAGACCACAATTTCAATCAAAAACGGAAAGAGACGTCAAATGCATTAACGAACACAAATAAAAGATCGGTTACAAACTGCACAAATGAAACACCAAAAAACAGCGTCTGATCCACTTAAACCACGCTTCGTCCGAATGACTTATCTCAAAACAACGAACAAAAATATTGCAAAATCAAAATCCAAAGCAGCTCTACGCGATCGATCGATACGACTCCATGAGTAACATCAAACAGAGACAAACACCATGATACAATCACAGAATATGAACAAAACACAGCAATTTCAGATGAATAAACTCACAAATCCACAACATATATGAACAAACACAACACAGAAATTAAACCAAATCGAAGCAATGCAAGCGCGCTAGAGAAAGAGAGAAAAACTCACAAATCCATACAAATCAGCAACGGCAGCTAAGATAAGAAAAACGATTAAAAAGAAAAGTGATATACGAATCAGAATCATGAAGGAGAGTGTATAACACGGAAGAATTCAGAGGAATCAAAGGAAATGGAGCGGGATTGAAAGAGAAGGAGAATTTTAGCATTACCTGGAAGAGAGTGATGAAACAGTGGGGCAAGGCGGAATTTGGCGTTCCAGGTGTGGGTTCCACTTCCACGCCTCGTAGTTAGTTGTATCTCGTTTCCACTCTCCTGAGTCTATTCCGAATACCTAATTTATTTTGGTTCAATCAATAAAATAAATTTATAACGAAATATTTTTTTTTTTAATAAATAAAGCCAAAAAAATATGAGAACTAAATTATTAATTACTTTTAAAAAATTATATGAAATATTAGACGTGCGATTAATTATTTTAATCCTCCTGCTCTTAATTTTATTTCATTTTAGACATTTATTTTTATTTTTATTTTTTTAATATAATTAAAATTTAATCGATTTATATCGAAATAATACATATTATTGCTTTTATTAAAAATTTCGTTTTCCAAATAAATATCAAAATGGAATTGGGGAAACCATTTTAATATTTGATCATCGTATAATTTTCTTAATTATTGTTATTGTTGTCGTCTACTAAGGATTGCATTTGCATCAAATTAAAGAACGAGCGAAACTCAAGTAAGGATATTGAAGTCTAAACATGTTGGGATTTGGGTGAAAACAAAATTCAAATCGAAGTTACTTTGAGCTAAAACTACAATGACAACTAAGCTTGAAATGACGTGTCGACGTTTTAGTAAAATTTGACGTTGACGTTGATACTAAAACATCACGATTAAATCAAATTTTTTTTAGAAAGGAATAAATTCCCAATTTATATCTACTTTCACTTATATTTATCTAAATTTAACTCAAAATATTGAATAAATTTAAAACGAAATTTGAATAAATAGATTAAATTAATTCTCTAAATCTCTTCGCCAAATTCCAATATCGATTCCTTTTCAAATGAAGAGGAAAAATGAGTCAATCGCCTCTTCTTCTTCTTCGTCTTGTTGTTGCTGTTGTAACGATGGCGTTCAATGGGAGCGAGGGCGGCTGATCGGAAAAGGAAGCTTCGGATCGGTTTTCATGGCTTCTCTGAAGCGATCAATCGCTGCATTCAGCATTTTCCCTCCGGTAATGGCGGTCAAATCTGCTGAAGTTTCCGTTTCTAAATCCCTTCAGAAGGAGAAACAAATTTATGATAACTTGAAAGGATGCAATTCCTTGATCCAATGCTTTGGAGAAGAAATTACTACTCGCAACGGTCGAATGATTTATAATTTGCTGCTGGAGATCGCCGTTGGTGGATCTCTTGCTCATCGCATCAATAACACATGTTTGAATCACAACTCTCTTTAATAGTATATTTTGATCGTAACTCCTATGGATTTATTTTTTATCCTAATCTTTTTTTGCGGTAACTCGATCTTCGATCTTACTTAAGTAGTTCAAAAATACGAAATTTAACCTAATTCAAAAAATCATTCAACATGAACTAGAAATTTAAATACAAACCTTCGTTTTTTAAAATAAAATTAGAAATTTAAATATAAACGTTAGCATCACATTTTAATTTTGATATCAACGATAACTAACGAAATTTTCTACTTAGTTTAAAGTTGCTACTGTACCATGAACATTAAATGTAAAAAGACTTTATTTAAATTCCATAAAAAGTAACTTTTGTCTTAAAACACAACATGGAAAATAAAATAAAAAATATTTAAATTAAAAAAGAAAAACTAAATAAAATAAAAAATAAAAACATCATATTTTATTGTAAGTCTAAGATATATTTTAATTAAAAATATCATATTCTAGAGCAAGTTTGAGAAAATAAATACCACAATAAAATAAAAAAATATTTAAATTAAAAACATCATATAAACTAAATCTCATAAAATAAGTAGGGTTATGCTAGCGTCATCCTTGCTTCCACAGGGGTTATAATCTTTTCTGCTTGATGTTTAGATTTTAATAAAAGAAGTTAAAATATTTTGATTTTGTTAAGAAATTTGTTGGTGAATTAATGTAGGTGGAAAGGGATTAGCAGAAAACGAGGTTGGGAGGTACACAAAGACGATAATCAAAGGCCTAATTCACATCCACAAAAGAGGGTACGTTCACTGTGATTTGAAGCCTGCAAATATCTTGTTGCTGCCCACGAACACAGCCAAGGGCGGTCGATTGGTGGCCAAGATTTGTGATTTGGGGTTGGCCAGAAGAACCAGAGAGACAAGGCATGACAATTGTTTTGGAGGGACGCTGTCGTACATGGCGCCGGAGACATTGATTCACCGCGTGCAAGAGTCGCCCAGTGATATTTGGGCACTTGGCTGCCTTGTGCTGGAAATGCTCACCGGAAAGTGCCCGTGGGCCGCCACGGACAAGGCTGGGATAGTGAAAAGCATTACTGAGAATGACGGAATGCCGGAGATTCCAGAAGGGGTGTCGAAAGAGGCAAGTGGGTTTTTGAAGAATTGCTTTGTGAGGAATCCGGAGTACAGATTCACGGCGGAGATGCTGATGACTGTGCCGTTTGTGGCGGCGGCGGAGGAGGAGGAAGAAGAAGAAGAAGAAGAAGAAGAAGAAGATTTTATGAGAGCTCTAACATTTGTGAGGAAGAGGAGTAGAAGCTGTAGAAAAAGGCAAAGAATAGCTCCAATTGAAGCTGTGCGAGTAATTAATGATGAAGGCAGGTTCTGAAAGTTCCATTTGTTCCGCCATTGCTGGAGTTTAAAGATAGAGGAATCCATATATTTTTGCTAAGTATGGTATTTATATTAATCAAAGAGCCCCTTGTAGGTGAAAGATTAATGAAATTAAATCAATTTGGGGGAAATTGTTGCTGAGAGTATATTGGGAAAAGAGATGAATTTATATCATGTTGATTCTTTTCTAGTCATAATAATTAGGTCTCAATCAATTTCTATTTTGTATCAATTTTGTTGAGATAATTCAAATTTATGTTAATTGAGGCATACCAAACTTGTCAAAATATAAATTATATAATTGTGAGATCTCACGTGGGTTCGAGAGGGGAATGAAACATTCTTAAAAAAGGTGTAGAGCTTGTTGGACCCCAAGCAGGTGGAACAGATGGTATTAGAATTAAATACCAAGCGGTGTGCCAGCCAGCGAAAACGCTAGACCCTCAAGGAGGTGGATTGTGAGATCTCACATCGATTCAAGAGAGGAATGAAACGTTCTTGATAAGGGTGTAAAACTCGTTGATGAAAATGTAGTAAGTTTGCGTTGTTACAATAATAAACTTAGCTCAACACCTAGTGTTCTAGGTTACATTGAGAAAATTGAGTACAAATATTCAAGAGGTTTAAATTATGATTGGATTTCAATTGGTTTTCATTCTCAGTCCTGCTCTTGAAAAGCATTTTTCATTTTGATGTAAAACTACAAGTGATCTCATCAACTTTTTGAACTGAATTGAAACAAGTATCATCAAGTCACCAACGATTCTTAGCTACGAACCCAAAATTTTATTATTACTTACAAAAGGGTGTTTGTCTGCTCAAAGTGGAAGAGATGGACTGCGTGTGCAAAGACTTCACATTTCTTTGAACAAGTTTGGTAAAAAGTTCTGTACCATTGCAAGCATTGGCTGTTAGTTCTGAAAAAACGGTGAAGATACCAAAGAGATGGCGCAGAATTGACGAAGCTGAGTGTTGGTTTGATGGCCTCACGCATGAGTTGCAGTGTAAGAGGAGGCTGCAGCAGCATGGTTGGACCACACAGAGACTCTCCAAAATGGCCGCAGCTTGCGCTTCGGTCGGTGACCGACTAGTTCCGACTCCGATCGACGCAGAATTTCCCACATCACCTTCACATCTTCATATCCACAGGTTTCTACGTCATCATGAAGCTTCAGAAGCCCAGCTCCTGTCAGCAGCAAAAGCACATATTTGCCTTAGCTTAGCCTTCTATAAAGAGCACTATTATAGATGAAAGAATTGGTACTTCATGTAATAAGAGATCTTTGGGGGCCATCCATACAAGAAATGCAGAATTTAATGGGCCTAATTTGTGCCCAGCCCATCCAAAGAGACCGGACTGACTTTCTCTCTCCTCTCTCTACATATATACAATATTATACACAAATATTGGGCTGGAATCCTGGAGAGGGTAGAGGAAATATGTGGTGATATTGTCAATAAAAGGGGCTTGAACAGTACGAATAAGAATAATAAAAGTCTAGAGATGGCAATTGGCCGGGCCACGCCTCTTGCCTTCCTGCTTATAATAGTAATAGAGGCAAAAACAAATCAAATTGGGTCACCACTAGTCGAAAAGTAATGGGCACTGGTGGCCGTCATTAGTCTTTAAGTGGAATTATGACTATGAAGAATCAACGGGACAATCAAAGCTGTTGTAAAAACAAAATTTAAATCTTAAAAGGTGGCTCTAATCTTTTACTCTTGTCTTCAATTGTAATGCCAGTGGGGACTTTTTGTGCATTATTCAATGGGGAAAGCTTCATTGGATAAATATCTTGGTTGAAAAACAAAATTATATTCGAAGGAGATGTTTGACCCACAATTAAAACTCGTAGTTTAAAGATTGAAACTAGCACTCCTAAAATTAAAGGGTTTTGATGTCCATATTTGTTGATACTTTTGGCCAATTTGAATCACTTGGGAGAAATGGGAGTACCCGTATCCTTATGAGTTCCTTTGTGATTTTTCCTACCAAATTATTGTACTATAGAGGTTGAATAATCACATGACCATTTATTGCCATCTAGAATCGACTCTCTCCCCCAGTCTATCGTAGTGGTTGGATTTAAGTGCCTAATAACTGTTGCATACAGATCAAGGTATCATATAACCAATATCGAGTCGGTTAAAAGCATTGAAAAAAACCAGTAAGAAATTAGGATTATAAACCGCATCTTCGCCTTCCGGTTCACTAGGTGTGGCTCCTCCCATATTTTTCGAAGTTCTTTTACAATTTTCCTCTCATGGAAAATCAAGAACGAGAATATCTTCTCTTAAATCACATATCATAATCTTATGCAGAAATTAACAGCAGATGATGTTACAAACAAATTCTTCTGTCAACTTCAAATGGCAGAATACAGTTCAGGGGAAAACAAAAAACAAAAAATCAGAAACCGGAGAAGTCTGATGGAAACAGAAATACAGCAATTCCATCAATCAGAAGCAATTCATTTAGTCGAGATCATCACATTCGATAAAATTAAGCCATAATCAAACTCCGATTTGGAGGAAAAAAAATCGAAGGTAAAAAGGAAGTGGAAAGAGGAAGAGTATTAAGAGACTAACCACTCTTCCGAGCCCTAACACGAGCGGAAACAGTGAGCCAAACTCGTCGGACAGGGAAAATCATTTTGTGCCAAAGCTCCATAAACCGATGCTTAACTTTCGTCTTACTCCTGCTCCGTGTCTTCTTTTTCCTCCGGTACCAAAATCCGCCGCCGCCGCCGCCAAGTCGAACGGCTATGGTGCTGAGCCCGGCCAGACCTCCCGCACTCCTTTCACTCACGGTCCTTCCGCTGCTCTTCGGTAGTGAATTTGCGATCAGAAGGCTTATGAAATTACAGAGAGAGCAAGAGAGAGAGAGACAGACAGACAGAGCAACAGTGAAATGAATTGGAAGATTAAAAAATAGTTAGAGAAAAATTGAAGAGGGGATGAGTCGTTTTTATATCTAAAACTAAGGCCACCGACACGTGACCGGTTGCCTACGTGGTATACCACTGCCCCATTATTATTCCGTGACCTTACAACTTTTTTTTTTCTCTCTCTCTCTCTAAGGGTTAAATATAAATTATATATATATATATATATTACTGCAACATCTCCGTTGGAGAGGTGGATCATTTTTTTTAAGAGTATGAAAACCTCTTTCCAGTCCTATGTGTTTTAAAAACTGTGTGGTTGACAACTATACGTAACCAGCCAAAGCAAACAATATTTACTCACGGTGAATTTTAGCTGTTATAAATGATATCAGAGCTAAATACCGAGCGCTGTGCAAGTGGGGACGTTGGGCCCCCAAGGGGTGGATGGTGAGATCCCACGATTAGAGAGTAAAACAAAACATTTTTTGTAAGAGGGTGGAAACCTCTCCCTAGAAGACGTGTTTTAAAATTGTAAGGCTGACAGTGATACGTAACGGGCCAAAATGGACAGTATCTATTAGCGGTGGGCTGGTCATTACATTAAATCTCTTATGCTCAACTTAAATTCTGGTTTGAAAACTTATTCAAATAACTCTGATTGAGCCTCTAGATTAGCATTTAAGTTCTAGTAATTTAAACTTTGGCAAGCTTCTAACTCTTCTCCGTTAGCCTTAAGATATAGCTAAGTTCAGGGTATAATTATGTTATGGTCTTAGTGTATGTCATCGTATATCCAACATTGATCTTGTGTCGTATATGGTGGAGTCTATTATCTATTACAGATAAACTATTAGGATAGTCGGGCTTGCCCCAATAGTCTCACAATGGAGGAGTCTATTATCTATTACATATAAACTATTAGGATAGTCGGTCTTGCCCCAATAGTCTCACAGTGTGAATGTGACACAAGGGAGCGACCTTCGTGTCTGCCGACTCCATGTGGTCCCTTTTCCTACTTCAACAAGAAAACTTTCAAAATGTCCTAGAATAAGAAAACCTCACCCCACACGCTCGGACGCATCTTTACTGTGCAGTAAAAATTTATTTACTGAAATTCTAGGTTTAAAAAATGAACATTTATTTTAAGTTTTAAGTTTGAGAAATAAATAATAAGAATAATAATAATAAGAAGTTTAAGTAATAATATTGTTCACCTTCTTTTATCGTAAGCCATTCAATGTATTTTCCTTCATTTCAACGTTGTCCTTTTGTGAGCATCTAATGGGGTCCAAATGCACCTAACATCTTTGCTCCTAATTTCTAATTTATTTAGTTAAAAAAAATTAATTAATTTTCTAATTTAAAATAATTAATGGAAGTATTTTTAATTTTATGTTATTTATATATTTAATTTCACTACAAATTTATATTATTTGCATGCCCTAAGTTATTGCATATTTTGTTCATCTTAATTATTTTAGTTTATATTATTTCCTTCGTAGAAAGATAATCTCATACACCGTCAAATATAGAAAGATAAAAATGGTAATAAAAAGAAAAAGAAAAAAGAAAAAGAAAAAGAAAAAAAAAAAAGGAAAAGGATATTTATTTTAGTTTTTAAATTCTTTTTAAAAAATTATATTGATAATTGGATTGATTTTAATAACTTGAGCTAAGGTAAATATGTAATGGTCATATAAAGTTGTTGAAGTTGGTCTTTGAATCTAAATAAATATTTTTTTAAATCCAAAATAAGTTTTTAATTTATTTTGTCCAACTTTTTCACCAAAATTTGTAGACTTAAAATTTTGTTAATCACTTCGATTTCTATTTAATTAAATTAAAATTTTGTTTGTCCATAAATTCTTACATTTATGTCCACTCAAATTTTTTACACAACATCTAATACTAATTCTAAACCTTCCATTTTTATATTTAATAAATATAAAATTAAAAGTTGAATTACATTTTAAAGAGTTACTAAACATAAAATTATAAATTAAATGTCAATTTGTAAAAAATAAAATTATAATTGTGACATCCAAATAAATTAGAGAGGCACAAATGAATCAAGATTATATTCGAACAAGAGCAATCTTGAGGATAGAAAGACTAAGAAAAGTCTAAAAAGATAGAAAATCACTATCTATATCACTAAAATGCACTTTCTTTTTTAGTCACTCAATCCTATGAATTTTATGATTAAATGTATTTTTCTTACCATAATTTTATATTGGATAAACTCCTTAAAAAAAATTTAAGATGCATATGAAGAAATTGAAAGGACTCGAGTTCATTTGTAAGAATAATTAGACATTAATTGCAAAAGCAAGCACGTAGTCATCCAGCTGTGGAACACGAGCACCGTGGTTCGGTTTTTGTATTTGATTTATCCGGTGGCTTCATTTTCTAGAAATTTGGAAATTATAATAAATTATTATTTAAAATTTAAAAAATATGGCGAAGGCTTCAATTTAAACGTGTCTGAAATCCGGTCTGTAAAGTCCAGTGGAATGTTTTCCAAGGGGGGCAGTTTTGACCTCTGAGAAATGCTTCGATTTTTCTAAATTTAAAATTTGAATATTTTATTCGTTTTTAATTTAATATATTTATTTTTTATTTTATAAATAATCACAGTCACAGATCTGTTAAGTGTCGGCAAAAAAAAAAAAAAATGATGTCACACGTGGCGGAATTGAAGATGGGTTGGCCCACTTTAGAAAGGTATTCTAGGAGCCATTTATTAGTCGACACGTCCCATTTCCTATTTTGAAAAATAATGGCATATGCAATCATAAGAAAATAAATAGAAAAAATGACTCGTTAAAAAATAAATATTTTTGATTTGATTTAGTTATTTGAATTAGATTTGATTTGTTTTCCATATATTTTATAACAATATATAATAGTCAATTTCATTCTTCAATATAATATTAGATTTCTTCAAATTTATCTCATCTTTCCAATTTTCTCCCCCTCAGTTTCTAATAAGTATTTCGTTGAATAAAGTAATACATAAAAGAAAGTTGTAAAAGATTAGGATAATTATATGGTTGACATGTGTTTAATTAATCAATTTTGGTTTTAAATGCTATTTAATTAAAACTTCAACCTGACAAAGAAATCAGGTTCCGATTGATGGAATAGAATTGAGATTGTCTACATTTCAATTATCAAAGCATAAAAAAATAAGTGTGGAAATAACAATTTGAAATATAATAATATAATATTCAGAATTAAAGGGGAGTTTGTTACTCCGTCAAGATCAGGAGGTGTCGGTGTGTTTTTTTTAAAGACGTTAAAATCAAATAGGATTACTTTTTTCGTAATTTTTTAACCCTTAAATCAAAATATCTAATTTTAGAATTAAAAAAAAGGGGGGAAAAGCATGGAGCAATAAATGTCGTGGAAACTTCGTCAACTTCAACCAAAGAAATAAGAGATTTTGTAGGTAAAGCCACTTTTCATGCAATCTTCTCTTTGATATGTTTTATATTATTATATTATATATATATATATTGAACTGGAAAGTGGAGTACTCGGCCGCAAGTCAAATCTAATCTCACAACTTTAGCAATTTAAACCATAAATCTAAAAGATTTCAAATTATTATAAATTTATAATCAAAGAATACTCTCTCCATTGGTAGGAGGTATTTTGGGGAAGCTAAAAGCAAAATCATGAGCTTATGCTCAAAGTGAACAATATCATACCATTGTGGAGAATCGTGTTCGTCTAACATGTTATCAGAGTCATGCCCTAAACTTAGTCGTGCCAATAGATTGGTAAATCCTCAAATGTCGAACAAAGGACTCCAAAAGAAAAGGAGGCGAGCCTCCACGAAGGCATAGTAAAAAATGACTACGACTCCAAAAAGAAAAAGGAATCTAGCCTTGATTAAGGGGAGGCATACTTTGTTCGAGGAGACGTGTTGGATGATGAAAGTCCCACATCGACTAATTGGGTTTATTTTATAATCAAAGAATTAAAGTTGACAAACATACCATCGTAGAGAGTCTCTAACATATCTAAGTAGTGTATGTGAACATATATTATCATCATTATCGCTGTTACTATATGATTAATACAATTAAATGAAATTCAACTTAAAATTTTGCTGAAAAAGGTTGAGCTATTTTCGAATGGAACGATACCAAGCCTATATTAACGTGCTTAAATGGGAAAGAGAGAATTTTATTAATCAACAGTTAAATCTCTAATTTTTTTACTAATACTACGGTAAAAAATAAATTGAAAAAATATAATTATTAGAGATAGAATCTAAAATTTAGGGGTATAAATTCACCTTAATGAAAGAGGGGAAAAATGTTCTCAGGCTTGGTTTACTGTTTATCTGCAAGGGAAGAGGGCTGCCAATTAAAATGTGTAATCTACGTAGACCGACACTAAGGATGTCCCATAATTTCAGTTAACCAATTTGTCCACTAGTCAACTTAGTGGTCAACAAGCCATTGAAATCAACGACTTTAGTGAACTAATTGATTAAAGCCTGAATAGGCTAGAATTAGGCTTCCTAAATAAATAATTATGAAGATTTTTAGAGGCCTTTGTCATCTTGCATTTGGGTTTTGTAAGGACAATCCTCCAATTGTGAAGAGTTTTCAAATCATGCCCAATTAGACTTCCAAATTAAGGGCATACCTCCCATCCAATCGAGATGACTAATTGTTTGTCTAACTTTAGAACATCGAGAGCTCCAAAGAATAATATCTAACTCCATTTCATCTGGTCATGGGATATAGACAAATGAAGATCAAATCAAGTAAAGATACTGTTTGCAATTCAGGAAAAAAAGAAAGATATTATTTGTTTTCAAACGTACAACTTATTGTTCATATGTTTCCATTATGCTTCATATGTAGTTTCATTGATATTTTCAATTGCTTATTGAGGAAAGGAATATTTAAAGGCTACTCCATTTGTGAGGTCTAACAATGGATTTCAAATAAGGACAACCATCCAAATGAAAAAAGCTATACTATTTTAGTATTTTGATGGCTTTTTAAAAATTTCTCTTCTGCCAAGTATTTAAAAATAAAGAGGGTTCTTGATCAAAATTTAGCAAGTCTAGATTTGTGTAGCTTAGGTTTCGAAAACCTTAATTCCTATAACTTGAATTTAAATTACAAAGAAATTTTCCTAAACTTGAAATTTATGTTCGCTTTTGTTTAATGTGTATGATTGAGGTCTTCAATTAGATTGATGATGTCTATTTTATTTATTCCCAAGTCTATCTAAGAATTGAGCAAAGCTTTGGATATAGTTGTAGCAAAGCTTGAGATGGACTTGGCTAGTGGCCTAAAGCTTTAAATTTTGATTTTCATGTTTAAATGTTTAGATTGTAGTTGGAATAAATTTGAAAATTTTAGGGTTGGTTTTGACTGATGTTTCAAGAACTTCAAAATAAGTTTTTCCACTCAAAAATATTTTTTTGAGCACTAAAAAAGTTTTTCAAATGGCTATCTATTCGCTTCATGTAAAAGTGTGTGTGGAAGATTGTTGGATAAGAAGTCACACTCAACTAATTAAGGAGTTGAACATGAGTTTTAATATGAGGCTAGAAAAGTCATGGTTCCTAACACGATATCAAAGTCATGCCCTAACTTAGTCATGTCAATGCAATCGTCAAATGTCGAACAAAGAAGTTGTGAGCCTCGAATGTGTAGACAAAAGTGTCAAACAAATAGTGTACTTTGTTCGAAGGCTCTAGAGAAAGAGTCAAGCCTTGATTAAAGGAGGCTATTCGAGGGCTCCATAGACTTGAGTAGAGGCTTTGTGGTATACTTTGTTTGAGGAGGGATTGTTAGGTAAGGAGTTCTACATCGGCTAATTAAGGGGTTGAACATGAGTTTATAACGAATACATCTCCATTGGTATGAGATCTTTTGGAGAAACCAAAAGTAAAGTTATGAGAACTTATGTTCAAGGTGGATAATATCATATCATTGTGAAAGTCATGGTTCCTAACCGTGCGTGTGAGATTGTGAGATTAGGACTTTAAGTTTACATGGGATAGGATAAACAAACCACTAACATGCTAAAAAAAAAGCATAGCTGCTTCAGAAGTGGATTTCAAAACCTTCAATTATATACAAATCTAAAAAATTAGGCAAAAACCACAAGAAGAGGGTTGAGGTATTTTGAAATCAAGAAAGTTGGAAATTAGATATTCAACTCAAATGCTTCAAGGTATGCCACAAAAAATTAAATCTAAATACAGGTAAGCGTAAATGAAAGGAGATGTGTACCTTTATTGTAAAGAGAGTCTTCACATTGTTGGTTCTAATTGCACCAAAATATCTAATGAACGTCCAGTCAGTAGCATAGGTTTATGTACCTTCACTATTCCTACATATTCCAGAAGAAACGAGGATGAGACTATAAAGAAATCGGATCGCAAAATCGTTGGTACAAAAAATTTCAAATTTTCTATGCTGTTATTATAGACGAATTGAACAATGACAGCATACTTTTGAAAGAGCAAAAAGCACCTCACATCCATGACATAAAGGACAATGAAAGGGGGGCGTTTTAATCGAAAGTCGTACCTGACACTGAATATAGTGGGGGTTTTTTAGTGATGGGGAATGTCGAGTCAATCGCCAACCAATATGAGCATCTTTCGGCACTGAACATCTAATCAATTTCTTCATGATAAAAAAAGAAATCAAAAGAATGATAGTATTTAAAAAGAAAAGAAAAACAAACAAACGTTCTTTCGCATCGGGTACTGTACTGCTATTCAATATATTAAAATATTTTGAGTGACTTAAGTGCATGCTTAACTTGAGAATTGAGTCACAATTGGCAAGAATTTCAGTTTTTTTAAATTGACGGCAAAAGCACAACTTTTGTCTACAGTTTGTTTTAACCGTCTGTAAAAGCAGCCTCTGCAACCGGGTTATAGGATTTATCCATACTAGTGCCTGTGGGCATTCTGAGTTTTAATTGCTACATGTAACCTGCCGCCTTGAATTGAACTCATTTGATGTTGAAGTCCATTAATCGGGAAGGTTGTCCTATTTTCATATATGCTATTCAATCAGGCAATCAGTCAGGAAGAATGCTTTTGAACTAATAATAATATCAACAAAATGACATCGAAATCTTATAATGATAAGTTAACAGTTAAGCTTTGAGACAAACCATCCAAAAGGGCCGGCCAAATATGACAGGGACCAGTGACCAGTCACCACAAGAAAGTCTCGCTCTTACTACTGAATCATCAATAAAGAGAACAAGTAACGAATACAGTGAACAATAAAAATGAGATATGAGTAGGTATCACAAATCAATTGATGTCACTATCTCACTTATCTAGCAAGTGAAGAGTCTTGAGAAGTCATAGGAGATTGTGGAGTCAATAAGCTTGATATGTATATCATTTAGCGTGTATCTCTAGAAATTATTAATTGTGAAGCAAGAAGTTAGGTAATCGTGGAAAATTTCTAGGAGAAGAATATAGCCATCCGTTGAACCTTTTATTCATAACATTGAAAAACGTTGTGATTGAAGTACCTTGGTACAAAGAAATCCATCTTGTTTATTTTGTTTCTTTCTGTTTCGGTGTGCTTTGAATGAGGGGTCAAAACCAACCGTGCCCACGTATTTATTTGATAGATTAGTCAACTAACTAATGGCTGATCAACGTCAAGCAATTATAGGACAAGCAGACTAGAACCAAATAAGTAGGAAGTAGGAAATGTTATAGATTGACCTTCTATGGTGGTGTGCATGTAGAAAGCTTTTCATTCTTCCTTCTCTTAAGCACTTTAATCCTAGCTTTCCCACTCCAATATCATCAACCCACTGAAATAAAAAGGGAGTTCGACATAAAAATATTAAATTATTCTACCTTTCTAAAGGATGGATCTTCATTCCATAAATGATTTGAAAGAAACATTAATGTTATCAGGCCTTACATATGCTCATGAAAGTGTACCTTAGATATGGCCCCATCATATGTCTGTGATCTTACAGCTTCATAAAAATCCAAAGCTGAGAAAAAAGAAATAAGAGCAATTTCTAAATATAAGATAATGATGATACTTAGCTTTGAAATGTTTCAAGTTATGAACTGTGTATGTGGTGGATATTAGAGTGTCAGAGAAACGAAAGTGTCATTTGTATGTGTGAAACATACGTTTGTTTGCTATTTAAATTTGTGATGAAACACAAATGCTACATAAAAATATTGAATTTCAAGATACGACTAGATGAATGAATGTTTAACAATTTTCATAGTCATTGGCCAAAACTCCAGAAAATACACCAAAATAAACCCACCATTTTATATTATATAGGAATGAAGATGCTCTTGACTCGACATCGTTTGTTCTGTTCCACTAGAGCTCTAATTTTTTGAGGGTTTTGATGTAAATAGTACATGATGGAGCTCGAGTAGAAAGTATTGATTCATTTATCAAGGGCAGAGATCTAGGGTTAGTGTCAATCAATAAGTTAATAACATAATATTACTTCCAAGTCCAATGAATTGAAATTTGTTGAAGGATGAAAGTCCCACATCGGCTAATTTAGGAAATGATCGTGGGTTTATAATCAAATAATATTATCTCTATTGGTATGAGGCCTTTTAGAGAAGCCCAAAGCAAAGTCATGAGAGCTTATGATCAAAGCGGACAATATCATACCATTGTCGAGAGTCGTGTTCATCTAACATGGTATTAGAGTCATGCCTTAAACTTAGTCAGGAAACATGTTTACAATGTCAACGACCTGAGAAATTGCGTAAAATATCGATTCAACTGAACAATAACGGTATCGATGACTGAACAAAAAACTCAATGGAAGGAAGTAGAACAGATACAATTATCATGAAAACAAGAGTAATGTAATACTCTCCTTGACGATTAACAAAAATGCAGCGATTCGACCATGGTGGAAACATCCACATTTCTACTCGAAATGTACTATGAGGCTCATCTTGATTCCAAGTGCAGGAATTAAGAAATTTCAAAATCAAGAGCACGAGATCGGCCGATATTGCACCTTTAGAAAATATCGATTCGGCTGAACAATAATGAAAAACAAAGAAGAAAATTCCACAACTACAAAACAAACCAAGGATGAACGAAGTAGCACGGATAAAATTACCATGAAAACAGAAGCAATGAAATAATCTCCTTGAAGATGCTCAAACGATCTCGTGACCTTCTGGCGATAATCAAACACAATGTCCGCTACAAAACAAATTAAACTCAGGAAAACATCAATAAAACTGAAAGCATAACCTATAATAGAAAAAGAAAGAACAGTGATAAATCGGAAACTTACATCCATGCCAATAAAGTTTCCTGCGAAGAGATCGTCGATGACGCCAGCTCTAGCTCCGACGGCGATGTTCGTGTTATCTGCCTCGTTGCCAAGCCTAAAGACATAGTCCTTGGTTTTCAAGGTAGACTGCTCCAACAGCCTCATCGGCCTATTCGACGGCTCGCCACCTAGTCCGCCGGTGCCGACTTCACCGGAGAGGTCCTTGGAAAAATTGAATGGAGGAGGAACGAATTCGAGTTTTTGGCGCGAGTATTGAATTTCTGTACTGGAAGACTGAGGGACGGGAGAGGCCGGATATAGAGATGGCCCGCCAATATCGGTAGGCCCAAATCGGCATTTTGCAGATTTAAATAAATAAATAATTTCTTTCTTTCCATTTTGTTGGATCAATTTATGGATTCGGTTAACGTGGTTTTAAGTTTTAACTGTTTTATTGAGGCGAGGGATTTTATTATTATTTTAATATTATTATTTATTCAATGGGCCGTTTTGAATCCTCGTACTATTCCACTTATTGGGCCAATGGGCCCAACATTGAATGGGCCGTTTTGAATCCCTATATTTATGATAATATTCTAGTAAAACAATTATTTTTAATTATAATTTGATGTTTAAACTTTTTAATTTTTATTTCTCAAATAAATGCTTTCCTGACTTCAGTCTTATTTCTTCTCCACACCTAACTACCTCAAAAATGATTTAAATTAAGTCTATAAAATTAAAAAAAATATTTAAATCTAAGATTTATTAAAGTAATAAAATTAAAACGAATATAAAGTTTAACCAAACACCGCACACCAGAGAAAAACAAAATGTAAAGGGAAGCCTCTTGGCCGTTGGAGAAGCACTGGCACAATATACTAGAGGAGCACCACAAGTTTGAACGACAGCGTTTCAAAGTTTGACTGAGATTCAACAAAAATTATTTATTTTAATAATTTGCCCATCAATTTCTTACTTATGAACGTATTCTCGTTGACCTTGACTTACACCTTTCCAATAACCCGCCGAGTTATTAAAAAAACGTAATTTATTTATTTATTTTTAACTATTCCTTTAAAAGTCAAGAACAAAAAATCAACCAAATTAGGTTGGATTAAAAATTCATTTTCATCCAGTTAGTTCAATGGATTAAAATCTTCCGTTTAGATTGATTTATTTGTATGATAAAATTAATATTAATTAAAATATTATATTTAGTTGCCATATTTTAATTCCATTTCATTATTGATTTAAAAAATTATCTTCAAAAAGTTCAAATTATAATTACAAAATTAATTATGAAATTAAATAAATAATAATAAAGATATGTATATATAAAATGTATTTTCTAATTTTAAATTAATCTATAAAATTTTCATTTATTTAAAGTAAATCTAACCTTCACAAAAATTTGATATTTTTATAAATGCTAAAACTAGTTTTATCACATCATCGCACTATATATATATATGAAGTTAATGTTTATTCACCAAATTATAAGTTACTATGAATAATATTTATAATTATTCGTGACATTAATAATGTTCTTCTACGTGGTACAAAAATAATTGGATGATACTCAAATATTCACCTCCCCATATATATCATATTTTGAGAAAAAAATATCATTTAAAAAATTTCACGAAATTATAATTGACCTCTAACATTTTGTTTATATGGAAAAGAGAGAAAAATATTTAAAAAAAAATCATTTAATAGCCGTCTAATCGGCTAATTATAACTATTTCCGCACGAGTAAACTATTTTTTTTTCTGTTATATTAGTTTTAAAATGGATAAATACATTATCTTATTTGATTTTAATTTTAATTTTAAAAATATTAATAAAAAGTAGACAACAAATGTGAAATAAGCAATAAACTAAGTCCTAATGTCTTTTATTAAATGTGTTTTGATTTTGAATAATCACCGAATAAATAGGAATATAATTATAATTTAATGGATCTATTGGATCTCAAAATAGAAGTAGAGGAAATGATATTTGAAAATATCTATATAATTCAAGTAAATAAGATATTTATCAAATGATTTTTTAAAAAATAATTTCACCTAAAATTAGTCAGGTGGGTACTAGCCTCAACTTTTAAAAAATCAATGATATAGGTATACAAAGAAAGAATGTAAAATAGAAAAATTATTAACTAGGTATAATATTTAGGGTATATATTATTTATGGAATATATCTTAGATATTATTTCTTCAGTATTTATAATTTAATTTATAATATATTTTATTTTATTTTCAATATTTAATTATTTTATTTTTTTTCATTTGTACGCATTAGTTGCTAGCTTTTATCCCATGGTTAAGAGCAACTAATACCTAATAAGTAAAATATAAACTAATTACATATTGAAAATAAAATAAAATATACAATAAATCAAATCATTAAGAAAATAATAACTAATATATTCTCTAAATATTATATTTCAATAAATACACACCATTAATAACTACTGTGATATGAGTACAATTACAATAAATATATTTACGTTTTTATTTGTATTTATTGCAATAAATATTGGATATTAAAATTTTAATTTGGTATCTGATAAAAAATAATGAAGGTTAGCACTAGTAGTTTAAATTTTATATAACATAGTGGCTATTTTATTTAATAATTAAGCTTAAAATAGATTTCAAATAATCATAAATTGGTTCATATTTTATTTATATTAAGAATAGAGTTAGTTTATTTATCTTTAAACATGTAATTCTGTATTTTAAAAATTTGTTAATATATATTTATGTATTTATATGAGTTTATTATGTCAAATTCAATATAATTGGGTTGGTTTTATTTGTTTAGATTACGAGTTTTTTTTAATACTCATTGTGTTGTGTTGTTATGTTGGGATTGGATTAAGAGTTGATAGATGATTCTCGAAATCTATGCGATCTGTCTAATATTTCTAAACTTCAATTTATCGTTAATAAATTTATTCCGATTTTTTTACCATATAAAAAATCTCCAATAACATCATATGGTTGGAGAGGTATTTAATGAATTACTGTTTTGAAACCTTAAATTCAGGACAGATCCCTAAGTTGGCAACTCATTAAAGTTTTATACTTCTAGTGTTTGTTTGGGTGTAAATAAAATGAAAATATCGTTATCTCCAGCCCATGTAGTTGGTGAATGTCACACCTTAAATAAACAACTAATAAATCAATTAAAAAAAAAGAGGCTATTATTTGGTTTTTCTTTTTTAATTTATTTATTTTCATTCTAGTGTCTTATATTTAAATAGTATTTAATTATACAATTATATTATTATTAGTAAAAATAAAAATTGTTTATTTTGGACGTTAAATGTGAACGTCGAATTCCATAAGTGGACCATTTGTTCTCGTTTTGTGTTGGTTGAGATTAGAACTTTATTGAATATATTGCAATCTAATAATTAATAAACCATTAATCTTAATATGGGTCCATGTTAATATATATATATATATACACACATATTACGTATGAATTTGACCCAAAAAAAAAGTTTAAATTAAAATTAACCCACTTATAATATTATACAAAAGAATTGAGGAATACAAAAATTTCTGAAGTAGTCAAATTTTTCGTCCCACCTTTATTATTATTGTTCACATATTTAATAACAACTTACTATTAGAGATGTCTGTTTAATCTATAGGTGGTCATTACAAATAAGACGAGAAAATCTCATTTAAATAGAGACTAAGAGAGATAGTAAAGAGACATTTTTCTCTATTAAGGGCCGGCAATAGGATACCTCATCTCCGACCCTATTAAATTTTTTTCCCGCTCTATTAATATATATTTGTATTCTATAATTATATTTTTATCTTTTATTTATATATAAATTAAAAAAACTTATGTGCAATATTGAATTTTGAAATTTTATAAATTATATTGAATGATATATTAGATTTATGTTTATGAAAGATTATGAAATTTATTAGATTAAGTTATGTTTTAATACAAATTATCTATTAAAAAATTTAATTGAAATTAACATTTTTTAATATATATAAATAAAATGACTGTGAAAGAAAATCTTAACTCATATCGAAAATTTATGTACATAGATTGAAATATGAGGTAAGAACGAGAATGAAAAAGTCACAACTCTGACCTTAGATATTTTTGCTTATCAATCACATTCAAGGTCGAGAATAAAGAAAATTACCGTATTACCCTTAAACATGGTTATGCTTTAAAATGTTACGCGATTAAGGAAAAAAAAAAAAAAAAGGAAAGATGGTGGAGTCCAAAAAAAAGGTTAGGTGAAGAAATGGGGAAAGCGAGTGGACTTATTGTGCAGCCATTAGAGGTCCTTCCTTCTTCATAGTCAAAAACTTGGGGTTGGTGAAAGCAATGCGCACTCTCCCTATTTCCTCAGACCTCACATCTGACCACCAAACCCTTTTTTATTTTTTATTTTTTATTTTTTATTTTTTATTATTATTATTTTTTAATTCCCATTTATTTTCCTCACCAACCAAATTCCAATTTTTTTAATTATTTTCTCGTCTCTATAAAATCCCATCTCCTTCTAATCCATCTTCAAACAAAATTCATATCTAATTTTTCTTACCTCAATTTGCAGCTTCAACAATGGCGGTTGAATCAAACCAAACTCATGAGTTCATTTTCCGATCAAAGCTTCCCGATATTCACATTCCCAATCATCTTCCACTCCATGAATACGTTTTCCAAAACATGTCCAAATTTGGCTCACGTCCCTGTTTGATCAACGGCGCCACCGGCGACATTTACTCATACCACGACGTTCAGCTAATGTCCCGTCGTGTCGCTGCTGGTTTACACAATCTTGGAATTAAAAAGGGTGATGTCGTCATGAATTTACTTCCCAATTCCCCGGAGTTTGTCTTTACCTTCCTCGGCGCCTCGTACTGTGGAGCTGTTA